CTGAGCCCCTGTGGCGTGAGAATCTTGCCTGTCACTCTAGCGCCCTGTTGCCCTCTCTTCCTTCCAGGCTACACTGACTTCTCAGCTTTTGCAGTTTCCTCTTCCTGGAACTGTCTCTGCTCTTTCGCATTTACCTCATCAAACAGGACTTTCCTCACCGCACTGCTCATATAGGCTCATACTCTGCTATCCTATAACCAATAATCTCAGCTTCATCATGTCTTTTCAAATCCTTATCTCAATTTATAATACTTTCTTCTGCCCCTCTACTAGTACATCAGCTCCCTGGTCTGTCTTGTCCCAGCTGAGTTCTCAGGCTGTACATACAGGAGCACTTCCTAAATCTTTGTTTAATGATAAAAATCTGTTATGGTTGACAGAGCCTTCATATCCTAATGACAAGGAAGATAAATATTCTCTTTGTCATTGCTGGTGGGAATGTAAATTGATATAGCTTATCTAAAGGTAAATTTGAAGTAGAAGGGAAGAGGAGAGAGGGGAGGAGGGATATGGGAGGAAGAAGAGTATTTGGGGGGACCTCATCTAATGTGCATGATGCAATGATGTATTTCAAAACTATTAAGAAATGAGGGCTCGGCGCCTATAGCTCAAACAGCTAAGGCGCCAGCCATGTACACCTAAGGTGGCGGGTTTGAATCCCCAGCCCGGACCCGCCAAAACAACAATGACGGCTGCAACCAAAAAAAATAGCCGGGCGTTGTGGCAGGCGCCTGTGGTCCCAGCTACTTGGGAGGCAGAGGCAGGAGACTCGCTTGAGCCCAGGAGTTGGAGGTTGCTGTGAGCTGTAATGCCACGGCACTCTACCCAGGGGGACAGCTTGAGGCTCTGTCTCAAAAAAAAAAAAAAAGAAATGAGTATAATTCTGATGGATGTGTTACTTAGTTCAATGTAAGCATTTCACATTGTATATTGAAGCAGTACCCTGAACCCCATAAATGCATCAGTGTACAAAGTTATGATTTAATAAAAAATAATAAAGGTAAATTTGGTGGCCAGGTAGGATGGCTCACATCTAGCACTCTGGGAGACCTAGGCAGGTGGATTTCTTGAGCTCAGGAGTTCAAGATCAGCCTGAGCAGTTCCAGACCAGACTGAGCAAGAGTGAGACCCTGTCTGTACTGAAAAACTAGCCAAGTATGGTGACAGGAGCCTATCTGGGCTACTCTGAGGCAAGAGGATTGCTTGAGTCCAAGAATTTGAGGTTGCTGTGAGCTATGACACCACAGTACTCTACCTAGAGTGACAGAGTAAGACTCTGTCTCAAAAAAAAAAAAAGATAAATTTGATAATATGTATCAGAGCCCTAAAAATGCTCATAGTCTCTCTCTCTCTCTCTCTTTTTTTTTTTTTTTTTTTTGAGACAGGGCCTCAAGCTGTCATCCTGGGTAGAGTGCTATGGCATCACAGCTCACAGTAACCTCCAACTCCTAGGCTTAAGCGATTCTCCTGCCTTTACCCTCCAAGTGGCTGGGACTACAGGCGCCCACCACAATGTCTGGCTATTTTTTGGTTGCAGTCATCATTGTTGTTTGGCAGGACGGGGCTAGATTTGAACCCGCCAGCTCAGGTGTATGTGGCTGGCACCTTAGCTGCTTGAGCCATAGGTGCCAAGCCTGCTCTTAGTCTCTTAATTCCATTTTGAGAAATCTATTATTAAATAATCAGAGATGTGGTACAAGATTTAAGGACATAGATGCAGCCTGTTTCAGAAAGATGAATAGTAGGAAATAAATGAACTGTTTAACAGTAGGGATATAGTTAAAGGGCTCTCACTGTGGAATACTATGCAGTCATTAGCATCATGTCTCATAAAACGAGTACCAAATTCTTAGGGCTACTTTCCTAAGTCCTTATGCAAAAGAGAAGGTAAAAGCCTCTGGCACCTGTAAAGAACTGGTCTCACAGATCACTCAATAAGGAAATTTCTTGCTAATGTTCTCTAAGCAAGTATATGCAAGTTATACCTATGTCTAGCGCCTGTTGATTCTACACTAGTAATGAATTATAAGTTTATCTTACAGGTAACAGAACTGGAGATAAGACACAATTGGACATTCTTCCACCCACTCAGGGACAGCTATATGATTGATGCTTCCTTCACTCCCTTATTTCATGTAAAATATCAATTTCTTGGGCCTCACAAAAATGTAACCACTACCTCCTCAGCCCCCACCTCACCTTTTCCCTTCTCTATGTTACCTTTCAAATGTTCCACCTGCCACTTTAGAAAACACCTGCAGTTTATCTGCTGTTTCCAGAGGCATCCTAACAATCTTGGCTTAAAAAACCTTCATTGATTTTTTTGCTTCATTCATTTGAGTTGACAGGCAGAATTGAAAACTTTACTTCACTTTTGCCTAAAAAGGAATGTATGTATAGAAAATAAATAATTACTTTTCATTTATTTATGTGACTAGGTAGTGAGATTCAAGGTGATTTTAATTTTCTTTCTACTCTTGTTCATTCTAAATTTTCATTTACTTTTTCTTTGTGACAGGGTCTTCCTTTGTCACCTGGGCTACAGTGCTGTGGCTTCAGTCTAGCTCACAGCAATCTCAAACTCTTGGGGTCAAGAGGTCCTCTTGCCTCATCCTCCCAAGTAGCTGTAACTAACGGCACCCACCACCACAGCAGCCTAGTTTTTCTATGAGACAGGATCTTGCTCTTGCTCAGGCTGGTGAGCTAGAATCCTAGAGTGCTAGAATTATAGGTGAGAGCCACCATGCCCAGCCTATTCTAAATTTTCTTAAATGAGCTGCAGTTATACAATCACAATAAAACACATTGTTTGAAAAGGCAAATATTCAGCTGGGTGTGGTGGCACACACCTGTAATCCTAGTGCTCTTGGAGGCCAAGGCAGAAGGATTATTTGAACTCAGAAGTTTGAGATCAGCCTGACCAAAAGCGAGACGATAGAAAAACTAGCCAGGTATTATGCCAGACGCCTGTGGTCCCAGCTGTTCGGGAGGCTGAGGCCAGGGAATTGCTTAAGCCCAAGAGTTTGAGGTTGCTATGAGCTATGATGATGCCACAGCACTCTACTCAGGGCCATAGAATGAGACTCTGTCTCAGAAAAAAAAAAAAAAAAAAAGAAGAAGGAGGAAAAAGAAAAGAAAAAGGAAAGGCAAAGACTTTATAAATTCAGCCTCATGTTTTATATCTCTGAGATACTCTCCCTCTGAATTAGATTTAAATTAACTATGTCATATTTTCTAAAACATGTCTAGCCTTTATTGGGTCATTGAAGTAGTGCCCACACAAAACTCTCTGATACCAGATTTTATTGCCTTTTTCTGTCTATGACATAATAAAACTACTTGGTACACTAGTCTTATTTCTGAGATTCCCTAATATAGTTACTTGTTCAACTTAGAAATATTTGAGTGTCAACTTTTTGCAAGAGTGGGTAAAGTTTATTTCACTCACAGCTCCTGCTGTGAAGAGACTACTATTTCAAATTCAACTCCTTTCAACCTTAACCCAACCCAGCCTTCAATGTTACAGCTCTGTGCTGATTGACAGCCGGGTCTTGCTGGGTCTAACAGGATCAAGTGCTGCCAAGCGTCACAGGCAGGAGCACTGGGGCGGCCTGGCCTGAAGGAGTCAGGACAAGTTATTCTAAGCTGGTTTCTAGAAAGTGTTTGCTGCCTTGTCAAAACTGGAATGAAAAGGCCATTACCACACTGCCCCAACCACCCCGGAAAGGGTTTCCAGTTCACTGGACTACTGATAGATTAGTCCTGTGATAACTACCGTTGAACACAGAAATTAAAAACCTGAGGAGAGTAACATCATTTTAGCTTTAATAGCCACACACAGTGCACATTGGATGTTAGACTCTATGGACATAAAGTTGCTAGGAGGACCCCTTCCCTCTTTTCTGTTCCTAAGTGTGCCCTTGAGAGCCTGGTAGCTCTAAGTATTGCTTCTGCTGTCCCACAGATACCCATTTACAGCCCTCGGGGCAGCAGCAGATGGTCCAAATGAAACCTCTACTAGAGGTTGTGGCCTGGGCCACTGGATGGAAGTTCTGTCAGATCAGCTCCCACCAGGTGAGTAGTGAAGAAAAAGCTGTGGAAACTACTTTCCCTGGACCGGCCCTCCTGCAGGGGTCCTGGGGAAGACACTCAGGTACTCCAGAGGCCCAGGCTAGAGCACTGGGGCTGTCAGGGAAGAATGTAAAGGGAAAATCCCACATTTCAAACCTTCCACAGATAAGTAAAATGATCAGGAGAGAAAATAAAAAGGAAATTTCATCTCATTTTTTTGGGTATCTTGTGCTCAGCATTCTGGAAAGCTTGAATCAATTAGAACACCACAGTTAGACCAGTTTTTATAAAATTATCTTTTACTTAAAAACAAGGACTCTCTGGACTTTTGACACACAATATGACTGACAGAAAATTTTCTCTGGAGAGCACCTGGCAACTTTTACAAGAAATAAATATTTACTATTGAAGCCACAACAGCTCTCTGCTGGGGTGGGAGCCTGGGGAAGAAAGCCCATTTGGGTCAGTGGAGCATTTTGAGTTGGGATGTGTAAAATGGAACTGGAGCTCAGTTTGGTGGTAGGGGTTGGGGGGGGTGACTGTGGGGGAAACAAACAAAAGGACTGGAGAGGTGGGGAGGGGGTGACACAGCCAAGGAAGCCATCATGGCTGAGTAGCAAGAGCCTTCAAGAAGGACATCTCTGAGTAAGAAACGAGGCCGTCTGTAGTGTTGTGATATAAACGTGCCACCACATCCATCTCCTGTAAGTCTTCAGCTGAATTAGCCTTTTCTGAGCCAGGTGACCGTGAACATGTATGTTCTAGGGAATTCACAAAAGTCTTAGGGGTCACTGGGCCTTTAGCCGGGTATGGGAAGGGTGCCTGAACAGTCTCGCATGGAGCAGTCCCATCTGAAGTAGACCCCAGCAGACACCTGGGTTACACAGATATCTAACATCAAGGCACTTTGTATACATAGAAATGTATCCTTCCCTATACCACAACCTTGAAGGTCACACATTTTAAAATAGGGAGATGGAGATAGAGATGAAAATCATATATAAATAGTTGAATCTCAGCTTAAGTACAAAGTATCAGTGAGTGTTGTTCATACAGTTTTCTTCGTGAATGTTTTCTCACATGAATTTTGATGATGTTTACACTGCATAGGAATCTCCCATCAAGTGCCCAGAAGATGAACAAGAGCATCGTGTGCCTTTAGGAGGGCTGGAAGTGAGGTGGTCTCAGTAATACATGTTTTTATCCCACCAGCCTGGAAGGGAGGAAGAGATAATTAGAAATGAAGAGTTGCTGAAGAAGGGAAAGAGCCTCAAATTCACAATACTCACTTCCAGGGTAGAGCCTGATGAAGAGTTTCCGCACCTCGTCATACACCCAGATCAGGATGGCATGTGGCACAGCCACAAACCAGTACTGAGGCCTGGAAGCAGAAGATGGGGAAGTGAGGCCTAGCTCAGCCAAAGGGACAGAACGCCCTGGCTACTGGGAAGGGGCCACTGTCCACTGTCGCTGCTTTCCTGGAAAGAACGACAAATGCATGGGGCAGCTACATAGACTGGAAAGTGCCTCACTTATTCTGGGTGACTGTGAGAAGCAGTGCCTGCCTTTGAAGCAGCCTGTTGGATGAGGGTGCAGGTGAACTAACAAGGTCTGTTTCCTCTTCCAGGACATGTCAGGTCAGAGCCTTGGGCTGGGCTCACAGAGCGTGGAACTGGTGTGATCTCTTTTGAATGACTTTTGGGGAAGAAGCCTCGTGTTTATTTAGGCTGCCAGAGTTCAGAGCTGGAGCTGACTCTGTCCTCCATGCTGTTGAAGGTGGACTCACCTGAGCACAGCGAAACTCAGGGCTGTGACGCTTCCAAGGCCATAGGACAGGATCAGCCCAATGATAATCTGCGAGGCAATCCCCACCCAGATGACTTTATTTCTGCAAGATACACAAAAGCAAACATACTGAATCCCCCTGGCTCCATGTTCACGCACCGAGCAGACCTTGCCACTGGTAGAGGCAACACCTTGTGTGTTCTAGGTGTAGTCATAGCTGGGTCCTGTGAACCACCGCTGTGGTCACCCTGGCCACTTTAGCAAGGTTGGCCAGGGCTGAGACTGAGGCACATGTGGGCAGTACCTGAAGAGGCCCTGCTGGAAGATGGAATTCCTCCGGGTCTTCCTAATGATCAGATCTGCTATCTGCTGGACCAGGATGCCAGTAAAGAAACCTGTGTAGCCTATCCACTCCAGGTGTCTCCGCTGGTACCTTGTCTGTTAATGGGCAAGGAAGAAAGAGGGCATAAGTCTCAGAAGAAAACTCCAGGGAGGTTCAGTGCAGTTTTGTATGGATTCACTTGTATGCCCACTTCCTCCTATCTGAACCCACAGGAACTGTAGTAAAGGGTCGTGGCATTAGGAAGGTTGAGCACCACTGTCCTAGTGTTTGGAAAGAAACATTGTTCTCCTTGCAGCAGGTGGGCAGGGAACAATGTCAGTTTATTTGGTACAACTGTGGGTGTGGTTGGGCTGGTCACTCTTCTATACCAAATGGTAAAGCTAATGTGAAAAATGAAGCTTTTGTGGCCAGAGAAATGAGGCTGTTCCTCATCCTGGCAAAAGCCAAATTAGTGTCACAAGGGGGTTCTGACCCCTATTAACTAAGAAGTTGTTCACTATCTCTATCTCATGAAGGCCACTCAGGAATACGGAGGTTCTGTATGAGTCCTGGCAGGGAAGGAGGGGAGAAGCAGAGAGAAGATACTGGCAGGGCTCCCGTCACTTACCCATTCCTGCCCATAGCTGTCTTCCAAGTCGTTTACATCATCTTTTTCCCAGTCTACCCGCAGGTTAATGAGAGAGGTAGGCTGAAAGCCCTCCTGTGCATAGACGGTGAAATACACGACAAAAGCTCCCAGTGCTTGCATGAGGCCTGGAGGAGGGAGAGATGTGGGCACAGGATGCATCAGGATTCAGAGATCTGCCTGTGCCTGGCTCCTCTCAGTTCCTTCTCCCATCTCACCCCCACCTCCAAAAGGAAAATCACAAGTTCTGACTGTGCCTACAGCTTGAATGAATTCTCTGGAGTGACAAGTAAGACACGCCTTCACCGTACCAATGTGCAGGTAGGAGTACACAGCAAGTGGTGCGTTCACTAGTCTGTCTCTCTTCTTGTGGCGTGGCTTCCTGTTCATGATGTCACTTTCAGCTTTCTCGTAGGCCAAGGCAATTGAGGGGATCTAGAAGGGGACAGGCTGGCGAAGGTGACCCAAGAATCTTTTGCTGGTAATAGCAGTGGTGCAACAAGGGGTTCTGGGGTGGGTGGGGTAGGGCCCTGGAACTCGTCCACCCAGGCCACAGGAATAGGGGTGCCCAGCCTATTTGGAACTTAGGAACAGCAGCTTTAATGCTGACTCTTCTTTATATTATCACCGTGTGCTGGCAGTTCCAAACAATCTTGGCCACAGTGCACTCCCCCACCCCAAGGTTTCCTGTGCTGCCCTCTCCCCTCTGGTGTGCCACCCAAATCTCCAAGTACTGGGGTGGAACAGCCATGGGGGCATTAGCTGGGAGCCTTATAAAACCAGAGAGCTGAGACAGGGACGGAGGCACCCTACAGAACCGTCTCTTGCTGTGAATTAAGCTTGCTCTCTTTGCCCCCGTGCCTGTAAGCCAGGCTCAAAGGGATAACTTTCACTGGCTTTTCTTTACGTGGATACGTACTGGAAAGGAGGAATAATTAAGTGACATCACTATAGTCAAAGCTTTATAAAGCCTTAGTAGCCACCATGACTGCTTACTGTATTCAGGAGAGGAGCTTCCAGATCAGAGTCCCTTACTTAACAGGGGGCAGCTGTGGGATTATTACTTTAGCCACTGGGCACCCAGCAGCACAGGGACTAATTGGGTGATAGCCTCATCTTCCCCAAAGAAATAGAAGAATAGAAGATGTGGGCTAAACTTGATCAATGGCATATTGTCTTTGTGTTTTTTTTTTTTTTTTTTGAAGGGGAAGTAAAGTTGTTTTAATTTCCAAGCATTTGACATGTGTCTTTAGCCCCATGCTTTGAAGCATGTTCCATGGAATTGGAGATTGTTGGGACTGCATGGCTACTAGCCCTGTCACGTCAAAGTCTAAGAAACACTTAGTCCATCTCCTGGCCCTTGAGGGAAATGACCCTGAATGTGACACCTCCTGAGGTTGTCAGACCCTGTTCCCTGAATGCCACTTACTATATCTGTGCCCAGGTCGATGAACAGGATGGTGATGGTGCCGATGGGCAAGGGCAGCCCAACGATAATGTAGATCAGAAAGGGGCAGAGCTCAGCGATGTTCTTGGTCAGGGTGTAAGCGATAGTCTTCTTCAGGTTGTCAAAGATAAGCCGGCCTAGGCCAAGACATTTCTCCTTATAGGACTTGCTGCCAGCCTCCCAGGTGCCCCAACCCTTGGGAGGACCCACAGACCCACTCACCTTCCTCTACCCCTGTGACTATGGATGCGAAATTGTCGTCCAGCAGGACCATGTCAGCAGCGTTTTTGGCTGCATCGGAACCTGCGATCCCCATGGCGATCCCAATATCTGCCTTCTTTAGAGCTGGAGAGTCATTTACTCCATCCCCTGTCACAGCGACAACCGCATCCTGGGGAGACCCAGAATGGGAGGGAGTGGGCCCCAGGGGTCAGGGATTGGGGGTCAGGGGTCAAGAAAGAGTAATGAGGCCTCCCTATAGTCTCCAAAGTTAGAGCTGGGACATCTTAGAGGCAAGAACAAGGAGCTTAGAGCAAATGAGCCAAAGTGAGCAAAACCGAACGTGTGTGGCAAGCAGATGGTGGTGTTTTACATCTTATGTCTTCATGTTTCTTGTTTTATAGCTTTGCATTTTAAAATCTTTCTCTCTTCACACCAACTATAGTGGCAAATGCTTTGCTGTCAGAAGCCCTGGTTCTCGCCTTATAAGACAGAGCTGGGGCAAGTCCTTCACAGGTAACACAGGCTAGGAGGGCCTCAGAGGAGGAGTCAGTGCTCCTGGGAATAGACAGGTCACAGAGCCCTCCCTTGACAGATTTAAAGGTGCCACAGCCTGATCTGAGGCCCAGAGCTCTGCTCTGCACCTCCTTGTGGTCAGTGCCAAGCCAGTCGGCCCTCTGGGCACTGCCGTTCACCCACCTGCCTCTGGCAGCCCTCCACTATGATCAGCTTCTGCTGTGGGGATGTCCGGGCAAAGACGATTTCCGGGTAATTGGATAAGATCTCATCCAGCTGCTCTGGGCTCATGTCCTTCAGCTCTTGGCCAGTCACCACAGCAGCCTTGGCATCCCTGGGAGGCCCAAGAGAAACCCAATGAGGCCTGAGGCCGCACCTTGGGGTGAGACATCCTTCTGGATGAGGTCTGGGCTGGAGCCATCTTGACTGCCTGGAACCCAAAGCCCTTGACATTTGATACCCCCCTAGTGAGTAACATGGGTTAGGAGTTCTGAGGGTACTTTGGTCTCCATTTCAAGATAGCAAACTGAGGTTTTAAAAAAAAAAAAACACTATTTCCTGGTGTCGTATGACAATAAGAATAAAAAGAAAAGTGGCCCTTCCCTCACCAGAGGATGAAGTGTTGTACTTCCTGGAGCAGCTTTATGTCACCTGCAAGGGGAAGGTAAAACACTGCCTGTTCTTATGTTTGGGGTCTTAGAACTTTCTTATGCCAAAACATTCAGTTTAGTTCAGATTTGCAGAGTATTTACTATGTGCATTGTACTAGGTAGGTAGTAAGGTTTATTGAAGTCTCCTTTGAGCATTGTTGTCCACTGACTACAAAAGTAAGGTTGTAGAAACTACTGATTAGGAAGAGCCGACTGCGCCACACCCCTGCTAAGCCTCTTCAGGGGCTTTGCACAGTGCTCTGGGCAGAACCCAGAACCCCTAACTTGGTCAGCAAGGCCCCTGCAGCCTGAGCTATCAAGCTTCACTTCCCCTTTGACTCTCCCCCCAGCCCAGCAGACACTCTGGTTTCTGAACCCCCCACACCCCACCTGCCTTAAGGGCTTCAATGGTCTTGCCTCCTTGTCACATGGGGCAGTTCTCAGCTCAGCTTCTCTTAGCTAACATTCCACATTTTGCCCTTCAAATCTCTTAAACACTGGGGTACAAAATACAGCATGCCCTTTTCTTTATGTTTTTTAAGTTTTGAGATTTTTAGGTTTGTTTTTCCTCTTGGTGCTAAATATTGGAATCCTAGCATTTGACTCAAACTACGGGTTTTCCTAGGTGCTAGTAAAAAATATCAAAGTAAGAGGGTGGTGCCTGTGGCTCAGTAAGTAGGGTGCCGGCCCCATATACTGAGGGTGGCGGGTTCAAACCTGGTCCTGGCCAAACTGCAAAAAAATAGCCAGGTGTTGTGGCGGGCGCCGGTAGTCTCAGCTACTTGGGAGGCCGAGGTAAGAGAATTGCCTAAGCCTAAGAGCTGGAGGTTGCTGTGAGCTATGACGTTACAACACTCTACCGAGGGTGATAAAGTGAGACTCTGTCTCTAAAAAAAAAAAAATCAAAGTAAGAAAAGAAGGAAAGGATGTTCCTTTTCCCTTATACCTGCCAAGATGCTATTTCTTTTTCTTTTTTTGGAGTCAGAGTTTCGCTCTTGCTCCAAGTTAGAGTACAGTGGCGTCAGCTTAGCTTACAGCAACCTCAACCTCCTTGGTTCAAAAGATCTTCCTGTTTCAGCCTCCTGAGTGGCTGGGACTACAAGTGCCTGCCACAACACCCAGCTAATTTTTCTATTTTTAGTAGAGACAGACTCTTGCTCAGGCTGGTCTCGAACTCCTGAGCTCTAGTAATCTGCCTGCTTCGGCCTCCCGGAGTGCTAGGATTACAGGCAGGAGCGACCATACCTGGCTGAAGATGCAGTTTTTATAAGGTTGGTCATGAAACTAGAATTAATGAAGAGAAAAAACAAAAACATTCGGGATGACCTGGATAAAAATGTGTAATCCACTCTCCCTTTTGTGGTTTTCACTGAAGCAGCAGCAGCCAAAATGGAGTTCGATTCCTTTGTGACTTCTGACAGAGAAAGAACTGTAAAAGCCTTTCAGTGCACTGTCCCACATTTGTAGGAAGAGTGTGTCACTCCTCTTTCCACAGAGCTGAGATAGAAATAGAATGTTCCATCCATGCTCATGCAGGATGACAAAGGTCAGGTCATGGACACTAAAAGTCATCAAATTGGCAAAGCAGTACAGGTTTACAGGAAAAACCATGTCATCTACATTGAATGGGTGCTATGGGAGGAAGCTGATGGCACAACTGTCCTATGGACATTCATCGCTGCAGGTGGTTAAGACTAGGCTCAAACTGGACAAAGACCTAAAAGATCCTAGAACAGGAAACTAAATCTCACCAAATAGGGAAGGAAAAAGGCAAAGATAAGGAAGACATTATTCAAGAGGTGCAGGAATATGGTAATCTTGTCTACAACTTACATTAAGAACTGCTAAAATGAAAAAAAATGTATTATCGAATTATTTTAAATAATGAACAAGCCCGAAACCTGTTTTCACAGAGGGATGTTATTTATACCAAAGAGCATTAGAAGACACAGACCTCAGATATTATTGCTGTGGCCAGAGGCTGTGATTCTGGTTGACTGTCTGACTTGGTAATGTGTTGCCTGACAATAACTTGTTACCTATCAGCTCTGTGTTCCTAAAAGGCTTACGTGCTTGAGTAAACTAGAAGACATTCCTTGGTCTTCCAATTTTCTCCCTGCATGCATGAAAGTATAGTCACAGCCAGTGACACTTCTCTTCAGTCTGAGACTTTAGAGTCTTGACTTATGTTTGTTTGTTTGTTTGTTTTCAGTTTTTGGCCAGGGCCAGGTTTGAACCTGCCACTTCTGGCATATGGGGCTAGCACTCTACTCCTTGTGCTACAGGCGCTGCCCAGAGTCTTGACTTATGAAAACCACCCACAAAGTACAGGCCACTCTGCTCCCACAACCAGCCCTCGTGTCCTCATGTTGCCACTATACTGACCACAACATTGTTGGTTTTTCTCTGTCGCCATGGCAGATGGGAAGTTACCCAAGGGTGGAGATAGTATTGTTCTGTTTGTTACTTATAGTTCCAGGTCTAGCCCAGTGCTTGGTTATAGCTGGTCCTTAACCAATAATTATCAAAAGAATTAACAGATGGGCTTGGTGCCCATAGCACAGTAGATACTGGGTTCGAACCTGGCCAGGGCCTGCTAAACAATAATGACAACTGCAACAACAACAACAAAAATAGCCAGGTGTTGTGCAGGCACCTGTGGTCCCAGCTACTGGGGAGGCTGAGGCAAGAGAATTGCCTGAGCCCAGGAGTTTGAGGTTTCTGTGAGCTGTGACACCACAGCACTCTACCGAGGGTGACATAGTGAGACTCTGTCTCAAAAAAAAAAAAAAGAATTAACAGATGAATGAATGGCTAAGTGGATGGATTAAAAGAATTAATAAGAACAAAGATAAATGCTTTCCTGAGGAAGCTTTCATTCTACATACTACTATTTTTAGTAAATAAAAAAGAGGAGTATGTGGGTGGCGCCTGTGGCTCAAAGGAATAGGGCGCCAGCCCCATATACCAGAGGTGGTGGGTTCAAACCCAGCCCTGGCCAAAAAAAAAGGAATATGTTTACATGGCTATGAATTGTGAAGCTTGCTGAATAGATAAATACCCAAGATGCTCACTAGGGCGGGGTATGAAACCCAAAATGTTCTTACTATACCTAATTCTTTTTTTTTTTTTCCAGTTTTTGGCTGGGGCTGGGTTTGAACCCACCACCTCCAGCATATGGGGCTGGCGCCCTACTCCTTTGAGCCACAGGCACCACCCTTTACCTAATTCTTATTCCTCAGTATTCAACTGGACCCATGCCAAGTGACTACACATAAACCGTTTGTTTCAGTTTTTCTTACTCCAAATTGGGCACATATTTTTTCAGATCTATACCACCAGATTTGAAATTTTAGACAAGGAGTATTAGAAGGTCATTTTCATGGTATCAATACAGTGTCTGGCACATGTTAGGTGCTCCATTTAATTTTGAGTGAGCACGTGGATATGTGAATTACAGATCAAATCAGCCTGGCACCGCCTGAGAGGGTGTTTAGCAAAAGGGTGATTTACTCCAAATAGTACAGCTCTTTAGCACCTGCAGTGCCTCCGGGTAAAAACTGGAGTTTCTGCTGTGCTGGCTCTGTGCTCACCGCTTGTTAACTTGCTCCACTGCAACGTTGAGGCGATTAGCAATGTCTTCCACTGTCTCACTGTTGGCTGAAATGATCCCCACGCTCTTGGCGATGGCTTTGGCTGTGATGGGATGATCACCAGTAACCATGATAACCTAGAACAATCAGAAAGGCCCATGGACACAAAGTGAGGATGGTTCAGTATTGCCAGCTCCACTACAACCTGGGAGAATGTGATTAGTGATTACTAAGGTTTGTCCTATGGGTAGTTGGGATCTGAGACACACTGTCTTTGAAGGATACATTAATCCCAAAGGCCAACCCTTGCTTCTAAGCTTCTTAACACTTCTTCCTTTTGTTTTATTTATTTACTTATTTTATTAAATCATAAACACACAGATCATGTATACAATAATGCATTTATGGGGTACAATGTGCTGATTTCATATAGAATTAGGAACACTTACATCACACTGGTTAATATATACCTCATCTCATTTACTTAATTATTGGGTTGGGATCACACCTATGGTGCATAATGCAAGTTTATACTCTATACTAATAGATCCGACATGTACCCTTGCATTATGCACCATAGGTGTGATCCCACCATTCACCATCCCTCAAACACTTCCTTTTTTGGGGGGGCTGGGGCCGGGTTTGAACCCACCACCTCCGGTATATGGGGCTGGGGTCCCACCCCTTTGAGCCACAGGTGCCGCCCAACACTTCTTCCTTTTGATGGCACTTTATTTATGAAAGGGCCAGTAGATATCTACTTGGGGCACCCCGTGTTTCAGCAGTCCTGATATTAAGATAATATTAGAACTCATATTTTGGTTTTAGTCTCACAAAGAAATATGCATTTTGGAAGCTGAACCTCAAGATTAAGTAATAAAGCCTTTTATTACCTATCCTGGTGGACTAAGAGATGCCAGTTCAGGGCACTGGGAGATTCTTCTCATGGTAGTAATCATTGTGGGTTTTTCCATATAGACACTATCATTTTTTTTGTTTGGTTTTTTTTTTTTTTTTGAGACAGAGCCTCAAGCTGTCCCCCTGGGCAGAGTGCCGTGGCATTACAGCTCACAGCAACCTCCACCTCCTGGGCTCAAGCGAGTCACCTGCCTCCGCCTCCCAAGTAGCTGGGACCACAGGCGCCCGCCACAACGCCCGGCTATTTTTTGGTTGCAGCCGTCATTGTTGTTTGGCGGGTCCGGGCTGGGGATTCGAACCCACCACCTTTGGTGTACGTGGCTGGCGCCTTAGCCTGTTGAGCTATAGGCGCCGAGCCTATCATTTTGTTTTTTACAGGACAGTTACTAAAACCTTAGCACAGTCAAAGAAGAGACTTTTTAAAAAAGAAATGATATTTACTTGAAGAGACCATCTGCTGTGACCAGTATTAGAACTCCTTGGATCAAGGAAACAACTCCTACCTTGATTCCTGCGCTCCGACACTTGGTGACTGCATCTGGCACAGTGGAGCGAGGAGGGTCAATCATTGACAAGAGCCCCACAAAACAGAGGTTGGAGGTGGGAAAGTTCATGGTGTCTATGTCAAATGAGTAGTTTTCTGGAAATTTGTCTGCTGGCAGGTAGAGGTGACAGAAACCTGAAATGGGGATGGATTTGGGAGATAATGAAACTAGGATAAGAGTCACAAACAAACAGGGATAAGGGGACAGGTGGAAACACTGTCAGTGCTTTATTATTTTACCAATGCACTAGGAGCAGTGTTTTTCAACCTATTTTTTTTTAACCTCACAGCACTCTCAAACCTATAGTTAAACTTCTGCAGCACACTTAAATTATGTTGATGAAAAAAAAGAGTATAAAAAAGAATATACTTACTGTGCTTTGAACTTCTTCTGAAAATAATTTAATTAAGAATATTTTAAAATTTTCACAGCATACTGGCTGAAAGTCACTGCATTAGAATATACCCGAACTGTTTAATTCCCTCAATTCTATAATGCATGGATTTTTATTAATTAATTATTTATTTTCTTGAGACAGGGTATTGCTCTGTTGCCCTGGGTAGAGTGCGGGAGCATCATGATAACCCAAACTCCTGGGCTCAGGTGATCTTCCTGCCTTAATGCTAATGTTTTTTTAAAGGAAGGACAGATTTCTTCATCTAAAAATAATTTACAGTGTGCTCACTTAGTTTCATGTTATTCTAGACATATAAAGACTAAGAGAGCACAACCTCCACTTCTGGAGATGCCCCAGCTCAGTAGTGGAGGCAAAGGCTAAAGAGATGTAGCATGACAAAGGCTGAGCTGCACTTCAGCCACTCTAGAGTCAGGACAGACTTCTCCACAGATGCCACACCTGAGCTGGGGCTTGAAGGGCACACATAGTTTCTAGGAAAAGAGGGAAGATCGGGGGCAGAAAGGCCATTTTTGGCAGAGAAAACAGCACATTCTACTGCACAAAGTGGGGAAAGGGAGTGAGACGAGGTTTGGTCTTCCATCAGTGGCAGCCAGTGCAGGAGAAAGGTGATTAGGACCAGGTGGACCCATGTTCTCCTCAGAAGGCATCGACCTCTCACAGGCTGAGGCAGAAGGGTTTCCTGTGTCCAGTGGGAACGCCAAGACCGCATGACTCTCTCATTGACTTTTATAATAAATTTATTCCCAGCATGGCTCACTGCCTCACTCATTTCAGTAAAGCAGAGTTCAAGAGGTCACACACTAAAGCGGCTCCAGGCAGACAGGCATTGTCTGGTATTGTAAAGATTGCCCAGCACTGCAGGTTATTTCAGGCACACTGAAAGCATTATCACCTCATTTATTTGTTTTATCTGCTACCGGCCCAAACAGCCTGTAGAAACACACATTCCATAGATTCCGTCTCTGCTGGCAAGAACTTTCATGGAGTTTAATGAGCCTTATCATCTGCCATTCACTTCTGTTTCCTTGAATTCATCATCCTGTGGCCCTGAAGAGAACCCTGGTCCTAACAACTGGATGGGCTGTCCCCACCAACCACAGATATTGCCATTAGGCTCCTCCACCAGCCCTGCTTTTCTCAGGTTTTTCCCTCGCAATACTCCCTGTTCCCATTACTGGTATCACTGTTTTCCTAGTTGCTAAATGGGGAGCTTAATAATTTTAAAAACATACTACTTTCCTCTAATCAGTGGTTAATCTTTCCAGTTCTGTCTGCATGAAGTCTGCTGTTTCCGCCCCTCCTCCACATTCTCACTTCCCTAATCAGACTTCTGTCCTCTGTCTCCTAAGGGAGGGCAGACACCTGGACCCAGGGCTCCTCTCCCTGCTGCCTCCGGGGAACACCCCCCACCCCCGGCTCTGGTTGGCTCACTCCTGTCGCAGAGCCCTCAGTGTCTCCCCCACCCTCAGTGTAGGATGAAACCTCCACTTCTCACTGCTCTTTCAAGACTTCCATATCACAACCTTAACTTCTCTAGCTCTGTTTGCCGTGACTGTGCCATCGCCACTGATAGATAAACTGTTTACACCTTTATGCCTGGCGATGTCCCTTCTGCCCTAGATACTTCTCTCCACTTCCCTCCACTTGCCCACACTCAAGGCCCAGTTTTAGATGCGTCCCCTCCCAGTCATCCCTGATTTAGCTCCCCTGGGTCCCCCCTCCCTCTTAGCCCTGTCACGTCCTCTTCTCTGTTCCCCTCCTGCTCATCCTTTCCTCCTTTACATGCTCCAAGGGGATGCCACGGCCACTCCGTGAGATTACAGGTGCCCCCAAACACTTCCTCTGCCCCACACTCACCCAGCACGCGCTCGCCCAGCCCACCCAGCTCCATGTAGGCCATGTGGAAGGCCTTGGCGGTGCTCTTGTCCAGTGGCTGCTCCTCTCCATGAATCATGACAGTGCTGCACTTCTCTAAGACCCGCTCGGGAGCCCCCTTCATCACCAGGAGGAAGCGCTTGTCATTGGGGTCCTCTGTCTCATGTATGGAGAGCTGGCAGGAGTAGATGGACATGTTAGATATCAGAGGGTGAAAAACACTCCTTTCTCTCCACTTGTCCTCAAAACATAAAGCAGAAGGGGGAACAATGACAGCCCCAGCTGTCCTTTTTGTCTTAGTGGTCAATATGCAGAGATTTAGACTTGGCCCTCACCCAGATAGGCACCCTGAGTCTTTCAAATAGAAACTGGCTGGTTTAGGGAGGCTGGATATGGCCATCAACCTATGAAATCCTGAGCCTTGAGCAAGATCCCCTGAGGCCATCGGCCTGTGAAATCCTGGGACTTGAGCAAGAATCCCTGAGGTGTATGGGAGAGTTTGGGGTCTGTGCACCTCTGTATGACTCCCCCCATCCTCAGTGGGGAGCAGCAGGGTCAGACCTAAGGTACTCTGAGCTCAGGCAGGCATTAGGGGCAGCAGAGGTTCCCATGCCTCTTCATCTGGGCAATGATCTGGTCTTAATGCTGGATGTAAAAGAAAGCAGCAGGGGAGTAAGGGGATGACACTCTCACACATAGCCTTTAGGGAGGCCAGCCAGGCCATACGTGTTGCAATTTTAGTATGAATGCCTTCATCTAGCAATTTGACTGCTAGATCCATGCTAAGATGATCAGAAAAAAATGTCAAAAAATTCTATATACAACAATAAAATGAGTAACTCTTATATAGCCCTGCCCTTGCTATATATGACAGGCACTCTTCTCAGGAGGAATCTCAGGAAGCTGGAGTCTTTGGGAGAAAATTAGTTATAAAGAACAATGGTATAATTTTGGGTGTAACAATTGATTCAAAATCAGTAATTCTTGGATTTTTGGATATCAAAGATAAATACCAAAAACAAAAACAAAACAAAACAAAATAGACAGAGCGAATAAGGTTGCTAGCTTCTTTTTTAAGCCAAGGAAAAAACAACCAACCAAATCCCAAACCATACCAATCAAAAACCCTCCAATCTGTCACCACCATCATTTTCTAAAATATAAAGCTTTTCACATTTAAAGAAGAATAATAAACATTTTTATGGTGTATACCATGTGCCAGGCACTATATACATTGACTCACTTAATCCTCAAAGTGACCCTAAGGCCATAGGTACTATTATTATCATCATCACCTTTTACAAAGAAGGAAAATAAGGCATGGAGATTCAGTGATTTGATCAAGGCCACATATTAATAAGTGGCTGAGCTTACATTTGAACCTGACCTCACTGGCTCCAGAGTGTCACTGCCCTTGATCATGGAGGATAATATTTTAATTAAATTCATCATTATTATTATTATTATTATTATTTTGAGATAGAGTCTTCCTCTGTCACCCAGGCTAGAATCAGTGGCACTGTCATAGTTCACTATTATCTCAAACTCCTGGGCTCAAGGGATCCTCCTGCATTAGTCTCCCAAGCAGCAAGGATTACAGGTACCTGCCACCATGCCCAGTATATTTCTCTACTTTTAGTAGAGATGGGGTCTTGGCTCTTGCTCAGGCTGTTCTTGAATTTCTGGCCTCAAGTGATCCTCCTGCCTTGCCCTCCCAGAGTGCTAGAATTACAGGTATGAGCCATTGAGCCCAGCCACATTCATCTTTATATAAAACATTGTAAGATATTATTCTAATTTCCAATTCACCATAAACCATTTTAAATATGTTCACAGAGCAGTCTGTTTGGGGCATAGCTAATATAAGCTCACTAAGACCAGACCTTTCTACTTTGTTCCCTTCATTGAATCATCTACCAGAGACCTTCTAAGATCATGATATCTAAAGCCCATTTGAGGGCTGAGTGTTGCTCACCGGTGCATACAAAATGGCCTGAGTACCATCCAAAGAGCACCTGTAACCTCTCCTGTTGGAGATTATACAGGCTATCTCTCTCTCCTGTAGCCCCACTCTGTGCAGCCCATCCCACCCCCATCTCCCATGTCCAGGCTTGCACACAAAGCCTCATAGAACCTATTTTTTCTCACTTCTAATGGCAGGGAATGCATATACCTTGGGAGATGGGGCTGCAGTAAGATCTGGAGTCTCGTTCCTTATCAGAAAATCATCTAACCTGGTCTTTACACTATGGACTAATGGTTTCTACTTCAATCTCATCCTGTGCCCACCTCAGCATCATCTTGAGAATGAAGGATTTAATACAAGTGGAACCTGGCACAGAATAACTACTATTACTACTGGCATTTTAGGATTGTTACCCATTCCATTTTCACTTAGGTTTTGAATAAAAGATCTGATTTCCTGACTTGAATATTTTATGTCATACATTTTCGTTAGTTGCCTATTTAGCTCACTGTGATTCTTTATTGGTTCATTTTCTACAAGGACGGCAGTTTGCAACACAGTTGCACAGTTCTTCTCTGGCCCTCAATTCTATGCAAACAAAGACAGGTGGATAATCAACAGAAATCTCTCTACACAAACACACACACACAGAGTTATCCTATTTAAATTCTTCACATTTAGGCCAAGTCCAAGTCATGACCCCCTGTTTTCAGCTTGGGATTCTGGAATTCTTTTTTTTTTTTTTTTTTTTTTTGAGACAGAGCCTCGAGCTGTCCCCCTGGGTAGAGTGCCGTGGCATTACAGCTCACAGCAACCTCCAACTCCTGGGCTCAAGCGAGTCTCCTGCCTCCGCCTCCCAAGTAGCTGGGACCACAGGCGCCCGCCACAACGCCCGGCTATTTTTTGGTTGCAGCCGTCATTGTTGTTTGGCGGGTCCGGGCTGGGGATTCGAACCCGCCACCTTAGGTGTACGTGGCTGGCGCCTTAGCCGGTTGAGCTATAGGCGCTGAGCCGGGATTCTGGAATTCTACAGGAAATCCCATCTGCATCAGCTCCTTGGGCTATAAAACATTATTCATTCCAACACAAGGAGGATGGAGATGGTTAAAAGCTGTGCACCCCTGTAATGAGGAGATAAGACTAGGTAAGGGGAGCCATATTCTTCCTGAGCAATGGGCAGAAAGGAGCCCTATCTGTAGTATATGAGGCGGGACTTGAAAGCCATCACTGACCAGCTGAGAGACTGTTCACTGGTCTTCACAGTGGGCAGGGCTTACTCCCCAGCCTGGACTGAGACATTCCACTTCTGTGTTACAGCAGAAGTCATGGACTTTGGGGTCAGACTTGTGAAAAATGGTTGTGTCACCTGGATGCTGTGTAACTGCCTCATCAACACTTTCAAGGGCCTGCTTCCTCATCTATACTTTGGGATTAGTCTGTCTAATATGACAGGCTTGTTGTGTGGATTAAGTGAGACAGTGCGGTGAGTGCCGGACTCACGTGAGGTGTGCAGTGTCTGCGCTCACCCCACGCCCTTGCTCTCACTTGTGCAGGAGTGTGGCAGTGGCACATGTATGCATCATAGATGGATCCTTTGCCAGGAGGGCTGCTAGGAGCAGCCAGGCCCTGATCTTTGCCTTTCTTTTCTTCTCCACCCTATATCAAGAAAAGGAAAGAGGCCAGCAAAGGATCCCTGACCTGGGCTGATCAGATGCCCAGGCCTACAGGCCTAGGGACTATTTCTGAAGTCAGGTACCATTCAAAAGATGGCTTAACCAAAGATAGAATGTCATTCTAGTGATAACAAAGACTGCCAGGTGTGAGGAAAAACTCACCTGAAATTTGTTAGTAGAGTTAAAAGGGATTTCAGCTACTTTTCGGTTTCTTTTTCTAATTTCCATCACATCACCCAAAATGACCTCTGAGAATTTCAGAAGAGCAGTTTCTGAGGCATCTCCAACCACAGTTTTCTGGGAATGAAAGGAGAGAAATAAATACTTGCAGCACATAATCTGGTTCTTCTATGATTGTTTTTAATGAACCAATATGCCTGTGGCACATGAACCAACATGTCTCCTGACTAAGCTCACCATCTAGTTGGAGAGACAAGCCAGTCACATGACAATCAGGGACTGAGGCGAGGCAAAGGTAAGAATGTAAAACAATGGTGTCACCTGCTGGTATTAGGAAGTTCAAAGAGGTAGGAGCTCTGTGGGACCTGGAGGATTTCAACAGAAATAAGCAGTGATGAACTAGATCCTGAGTGATAGGTGGGTTACACAGAGGAGCAGAAGAAAGTCTTCTAGAAACTGGAATGTAGGGGGAGAGACATGAAGTGGAGTGTTCCAAGTGCAGGAGGACGTGGAGGTGTGCTAAGACAGGGAGGTCCCTGCAAGGCAGTCTGAGGTCTAGACTTAAGGAGCAGAAGACAGAGATGCCCAGGAAGTTTTTCAGCAAAGTGAGGTAAAGATAAAAAGCAGTATTTATAGAAAATTAATGTCATTCCAGAAAGACTCTAGGAAAACAAAAATGGGAATTTATGAATTGAAAAGGCCAGTTAAGAGGCTGGCACAGCTATTTAGATGCGAAGTATTGGTAGTAAGAGAAATACAAAATTACATATATTTTGAAGCAAGAGTGTTGCTTCATGGTGACTTGTGATATATAAAGAAAGCAGGAAGTCAAAGATGACTTCCAAAAGTTTTGGCCCCATGACACGTAGAACGGTTATGTCACAGAAAAACAGAAAATTGGGGAAAAGATGCTGACTTGAAGCCAGGATGGATACAGGCAAAAGGTGACAAGTATAATGTGTTCAGAGGCTAACATGGAAGCACACGGCCTGCCAGACAGCCAGGCTGAGTTTGGGTGAGAAATTAAAACTGGACATAAAGATTGAAAAGACACTAAGGGAGAAGTGATTGGCCAAAAAGACTACCGATGAGCAGTCTGATAGAGAAAGAAAAGCAAACAAAGAAAATAGAAGAAAGAAAAAGTCAGGGAAGGGAACCAATGGCAAATAGACAAGCCACGAGAATCCATGACTCATTCAGTGACTCATTGAGATGGAGAAGAGAGAGAAGGGGAAAGAGTTTACTGTATATTCTGATATTCCAGGACACTTAGAGCTCCGACTGCTGCCATAGTCTAGTAGAGAGGAAGATCAGTGCCTTTATTTCTATCAAATTATATTTCAAACATCTGTGAATAGCATGGATGTAATAAGGAAACTAAGATTACATACACTTAGTTGGCAAAGAAACCAGGAAAGTAACTTAAAGGCACATTCATTTCCTGGAATGGAACAGAGTTTTCAAAAGGATGTAAAGCAATCTGAGGTCACTTAAGCATCTTTGTGATTTCTCAAAGCTAGTTCAAATGACAAGAACTGTGTGCATGTTTCTTGCTAGCATGGTACAAAGTTTACTCAGCTGGAGAGTTTATACCAAGTATCCCTCAGAAAGGAGCAAGTGACTTCAAAATGACTGTGATTTAAGGTCATGCGCCATGCATCACAGAAGCATTACCTTCATGATGGGGACACTTTCCTGTCCCGGCTTGAACTCGGCTCGGTTACACAATGTTATTATCTTGGATAAGGAGGCCCAAGTCCTAGAACTTTGGTCAAAGAGTTGGTCTGAAAGACAGAGAAGAAGAGTGGCTGCTGTGGGGCTAGGCCTACTGTCCACAAGTCATGGTCCAACAGTTCTCTGACCTGCAGAGCTGCTGTCTGCTTGCCTCAGTCCCAGGCGGGAGCCCACACAGACCAGACTGAGCACTCCAGGAGACTTACTTGAATGGTCTTCACTAGTGTCAGCCACGAAGATCTGATTGTCAAACCACAGATGGGCCACGGTCATCCTATTCTGTGTCAGAGTCCCAGTCTTGTCTGAACAGATGATGGAGGTGGACCCGAGGGTCTCCACAGCCTCCAGGTTCTTCACCAGGCAGTTCTTCTTGGCCATCCGTTTGGCGGTCAATGACAGTGTCACCTGACAGGTGGGAGAGAGGGAGAAGGAAGCTTTGGTGAAAAACCCTCATTCTGAACATAGGCCCAATAACACAGAAGTAGCTGCCTGGGGAACCTAGAAGCGTGTGTATTTCATTTTAAGAGCTCTATATTTTAAAGATTCTTTTAAACCCCCACATGGAAAGGCTTCTTTTGGTCTAATTGCTTTCTTTTTGTTTTCTTCTTTTTTGAGACCAAGTCCCACATGTCACTGTTGGTAGAGTCCTGTGGCGTCACAGCTCACAGCAACCTCAGACTTCTGGGCTTAAGCCATTCTCTTGCCTCAGCCTCACAAGTAGCTGGGATTACAGGCTCCCCCCACAACGCCCGGCTATTTTTTTTTTGCTACAGTTGTCATTGCTGTCTGGCAGGCCCGGGCTGGGTTCAAACCTGCCAGCTCTGGTGTGTGTGGCTGGCGCCCTAGCTGCTGAGCTACAGGCACTAATAGCCTTGGTCTAATTTTTTCACATTACTATCTCCTGTAGTCAGAAGAGACCTGGAATTCAAAAACTTCTCTTGTCTTTGGTCAGGACCCAACCAGACCAGTGATCCTGTGGTCACAAAACTGGAGACATGAATCCTCTCCTCCTCTTCCCCTGGACCTAGGAGGAGGGGCCTTGCGTCTGAGGACTGAGCTAGATGGGCCTCACAAAGGGAAAGGCAGGTAAGGAAGGGGAGGGATTTCTTTGCAGGAAAAAAATGGGAGGAATTTTTTTTTTTTTTTTTTTTTTTTTTTGCCTGAGAGGAGAAGCAAAGTAAAGCAAAAAATGTAACAATGTGTCCCAATTTCTAAGTTGTAGAAATTGCCAAAGAAATGTGAGGAAGGCATCAGGCTTCTGGACAATCTGTAAATGGTCTGTCTTTGTCTAGATCTTAAGGGAGCAAAGTAACATTTGTGACTTGAAGACAGATGTGAAAATATATATTTTCAAAGATAATGCATTCAAATATTAAAAATATCACAATTCCTTTGGCCAACCTCTAAGAAAGTCTATTGGGAATGTTCTATGACTGTCCTTAGCCAGGAAGGCGTGCTGCCCTGGAGGTAAGTGACTGGTCCTTGTATGTGGGAGCCTCCCCCCCAGAAGCCATCTATCCATAGGGCTGGTGCAGGCTGCCTAACAGCACTGACTCACAGTGACAGTGGCCAGGAGGCCCTCAGGCACATTGGCCACGATGATGCTAATGAGGAAGATGATGGCATCCAGGACTTGATACTTTAGGCACACTGCGATGATGAAGAAAAGGACGCCAATGGAGACGGCCACTCCTGCCACCATGTGAACAAAGTGCTCGATCTCAATGGCAATAGGTGTCTTCTCATTTCCAACTCCTGACGCCAAGGAGGCAATATGACCAATGATGGTGCGGTCACCTGTGCTGATGACCAAGCCAGTGGCAGTGCCTACAGGGGAAACAGATGTTTTAGTCCAGGACTCCTTAGCTATGAGGGGAACACAGCCAGGGTACAGCCCTGCTGGGACTTGTGTGATCAGTTAGCACATGATATCAGGAAGGCCAAGCATCCTTGCCTTTCAGCTCCAGTGTTTCCTCTGGGCCAAGCTTTGAAACAAGATGTGGCAAACAGAGAAAGACACAAGGTCCAGGGAAGAAAAAGGGCCGTGGGCATGTGGCCTGAGCACCAGTGGGCCTTACCTTCCAGACAGGTTGTAGAATAGAAGCAGATGTTTTTTGTTTCCAGGGGGTTTTCATGAGTGAACTCACAGCAGCGGGACTGGGGTTCAGATTCCCCTGTGAGACATGAATTATCTACCTAGAAGAAATTTTAAGAACAGTTCAAAATGAGGCATCTTTTCCCCGCCTCTTATCCTAAGGCTAGGAGAGACAACAGACCTCCGCCTAGCTCCCAGCATGGTCCTCAGGGTGGGTGCCCTGATACTTACCCTGCACCCCTGAGCAGACAGCACCCTGATGTCCGCAGGGATCTGGTCTCCCCCTTTAACCTCCACAATGTCCCCTGCCACAAGCTGCTCTGCGGGGATTACCTTCTTCTCGGAATCTCGGATGACCAGGGCTTGCTGTAAAAGAGAACCGTGACAGCTACCTCAGACCCTCAAGGATGCCACCTGCTGCCCACCTGTGCCACACCAGTCCCAGTTTAGAAGCGGTGAAACCCGCTGCTGTCAGAATGGCAAAAATGAGATTGGAGACTATCACTTTGGGACTAAAGCCTCTATAACTATTTTTCCTGAGTTCACAAAGATGTTCTTGGAACCAGAAGAGGCTGCTGTGGTGCTGATCTGGCAAAGTGAGAGCCCCAGGCCTCATGGGAAGGAAGACAGTGAAGGCTGATCAACCCTGGCTGGGTGTCTGGGAAGAGTACTGAAGGTGGGACCAGAGAATTTAATACTCCTACAAAGGTCAAGGAAACTAATGAGGAGAATCCGAGCTATATGGCTCTGCAAAAGTCACTTTCTCCACCCAGAACCCTTCTCTCCAGTGGGCAGCTCTCTGGGCCAGGGTCAGTAGGGCTGTCCTGCCATGGACATGTAACAGGGGGTCCTGGGGACTGCTGTTTTCCCTGTTGAAAGCATTTTGGTGCAACATGCCCTGGGATCAGGAATGGCTTCAAAAAGAGTGACGGACAATTACAGAGGGGTCTCCTCACCCGCCAGGGAACAAACTCCCTGAATTCTACAGGTCCCTCCCTGAGCCACCTGAATGACTGTCCCAAATGCTGAAGAGTAGGAATAAAAGATATCCTACAATGACTGCCATTTTCCTGGATCCAGCCTCATTTGATCACTTCAACACCTTGTGAGGATAATGGGTTCAGATAGTAGAAGGGGTTTGCCCAGGCTTTCTTAGAGCGCAAAGGGTGGACCAGGGCTGAGGAGAGCCCCAAGGCCCTGGCCCCTCTGTTCCCACAGTGGAGGCTTCCTCACCCCTTACTCACCTGAGGGATCATCTTACTGAAGCTGGACATGATGTTGGTACTTTTTGCCTCTTGGTAATAAGCAAAGACCCCTGTTAAAATGACGACCAGGATAAGTACGGAGCCCAAGTATACCTGGGTGGGGAGGAAGGGCAAAGGTCAGAGAAATGGGTACCAGGAACGAGCCGGGGCCTGGGCTAGAGTTGTCCGCTGGGTGATGAGACACTGACAGTTGTGTCCTGGTAGAATTTATAGGCCACAGAATTCACCCACGTAAAGTGGCCAACTCACTGATTTCTAGTAAGTTTCCAGAACTGTGCAACCAACCCCACAGTCCCCAGGACAAATCCATCATGCCAACAGATCCCTAGTGCCCCTTGTGGTCACTCCCTGCTTCTGCCCAGCCCTGCTATCATGGATGTGCCTGCTCTATGCATTCCTTGTCAGTCAAACCATATGCTCCATGGCCTGTCACCTCTGGCTCATTCTCACAGCTTTACGTTGCCCTGGAAGTTTTGTGACTTTGGCAGGTACACACTCTCCATGTTGAAGGGAGGGATAAGCTTCAAGGAGGAAGATCCCAAAATATACTGCACACAGAGCTGAATTTTTTTGTTGTTGTAGGAGTTGAGGGTTTTCATTTTTTTCCTTTTTCAAATTCATGTTCACACTACCTCTGAGATATCAGCCAATTAGATACCACATTTGTTTTACCAAGTGAAATCTCACACTTTCATAGGGATTTTTTCCCACACAAGCCTGCTGATCTCTCCATAGCCGGGCAGTGCCCAAGCAGTGGTAGTGCCCAAGCAGCGGTAGTGTTCTGCTTGCAGTCCTGGGCTGTGCCCACAAGGCCAGACTGCAGGGCTCTTCTGTCCCCTGATACTGACTGGGAAGACCAGGAGGGGATGGCAGGCCTTACATTGTCCAGGGATGACGATGGGTTGTTGGAGTACTGGATCCCAAAGGCGATGTAGCATAAGAAGGCTCCCACCCACAGAAGGATGGAGAAGCCCCCCACCATCTGCTTGAGAAACTTGATGATCTCCGACGTCTGCTTGGGAGGGGTGAGGGCATTGGGCCCATCCCGTGCCAGCAGCTCAGCAGCTCTTGAGCTGGAGAGACCCTGAGAAAGCCAAGCGACAATACACACACACACAAACAAGTAGGCATTAGACAATTCTCCTCCCTCAGGGGTTGGGCCTCATATTTTTGTATCCTGTAGTTAGGCAGTAATGTGCCCAATGAAGGTCTGGGGGAATGTGGCTGAGGCCTCACCTTTTTGTAAGAGTATTTAATGCTTAATATTAGTCAGGTAGTGTGCTCCATATATTTACTCTCTTATTCTTCAAGATCATCCCCATGATCTCTGGGGATGGAACCATTATTATCCACACTCATGTATGTGGAGTTTGAGGCAAAAAGAAGTTACCTAACCTGCTCAAGGCACCTGGCCTGTTAGTGGCAGCACAAGCTTTCAACCAGGTGACTGGCTCCAGAGCCACTGCGCTGTGCTCTGTGAAGGAACTTTAATTTCTCAGAGATTATCCTGTGATAGGAGTAATTTGGGTAAGGAAGATTTGAAATAGAGAAGCTAGTCACCAAGGTTAAGGTCAACACAGTGACCCTCCAGGAAACAGGATCTATTCTGGAATCTCTGTGTAGCAACCATGTTGACTTATTTTTCTTCCTTAAGTTTGGTACTTTTCTACAATCCACCCTAAATTCATGTTCATCTTAGCAGCTGTAAATCCTACCCAAGCACTAAGGCCCACCTGAGCAATCCCTTCCTTGGTGAGCCTGCATTCAGCTCCACAAGGAGGCACCCCTGCCTTTGATATCCTGTACTTTCATAGGGAATTTTCCCCCACAAAGTATTTTTTGTAGAGAAAGTCTAGCTCTGCTCCCTCTGGCCAAAATCCACTGTTCTCTCAGCACATTGTTACAGCTTCTCACTGGGTGTCCAGGCAGGATAGAGTGGCTATCATGATACTTCCCTGAACATCTGGCTTTTCTACCCACCTGCTTCCTCCTTAGGGTCAGGGTACCCTATCCTTCATTGTCCTTGTCACTGCCAGACCAGAGCAAACCACCTAGTAGGTATTCCTATTGACTGGAAGAGATGTGCATTCAATACCCAGATGCAGATGACTGCAGTCTCAAAGGTGCCGCTATTTGTCGGCCACTCTGCTTTTCCACACACCTTGAGAACACAGCTCTCCCCTCTGCATAGCTGGGGGCTTCTCTTCCCTATCCCTGGTTCCCTGATGACTCACCGTAATGATGTCTGTTCCATATTTCTTTTCCAATTCCTTATTGCTAAGCTTGTGGTCATCCTAAAGTTCATGAAAGGAAAAAGAAAAGAATGAATTAGATAATTCCGAAAAACTCAAACACGGAACTTTGGCCAGGCCATGAAAGCTGGGAGTAGTAGCCCAGCGTATGGGATAGGGTCAGGAGGTGTGGGGAAGGAGAGAAAGACAGGCAGCTGTGCAGAGAGGGAAGGTAGTACCACAGGACCGCCTCATCCTGCTGGGTCACCACCAACCTGAGTTTAGACTTCACTTGTCACCTACCATCCAGAAGCTGTCTTTAGTTTTTATAAAAAAGCAGTGATCCTCACTTCAATCTAACTTCCAGATCATGCAAGTCCGAGCCCATACCCATTCCCTAGGTCCTCATAAACTGGATGCTTCATACTGGCCTCAATCCTGGGTTTGGCTGAGTGTGATGGGCAAAACCAAACCAGACTTAGTTCCTGTGTTTGGACCACTCCTCCCCCTCCCTAGAAGGTCCCCAGCAGGCAGAAGCATGCCCTCCCTTGTTCAAGTACTGGAAACTCAGAGAGTTCATGGCTAGAAAAGGCCTGCAGACTGAACATCTGCCACATGAACGAACACCAGTGTGGCCCATACAGTTAACTTTACTAAAGAATCATTAGACCTAACTAGGATTTCTCAACCTTGGTGCTACTGACAATTGGAACCAATAACTCTTTGTCATAGGGCCTCTACCCACTAGGTGTCACTCACTAGTACCCTCCCCTGAGTATGATAACCAAAAATGTTTCCAGATATTGCTAAATGTCTCTGGGTTTGGGGTGGGGGAATCCTCCCTTCTCCCTTTGAGAACCACTGGCCAAAGGACTAGAAACCTCTTCCCGTAGAAGAAAATCCAAGAGCAAACCTTTCTATTTGTCCCCCTCTCCCCACCAAAACCCAATACACAGAATTGTTTTAAGTCCTGATTATCTGCAACAAAGATTTACACTGTGACTGTTGCCTGAACCTCTCTTTTCTCAAGTGTATGCAAGAAAAAGTTTCCTGTTGCAATAAAAGATTAGGCTTTCCAATAAAGAATAATTTATTAGTACATTATTGTTATTTTGCTTATAGCTTTTTAGCTAGATTCTACGTTGCTCATTCATCTTCTACAGGCATCAATTGCAAGTGACACTGCTGGTGATTGGGAGAGTTGAGGCATAGTTCTGTACAGAGTGTATAGTGCAGTGTATTAAGTTTTGGGCAGATGCAAGTCATGGCTGGTTAGAACTATGTGCATGGATGGCCCTCAAACTTTCAGGGCTCTACCTTGAGGCAGAGGACCTTTCCTGTCCCTTCAACCTGGGCTTTGGGATGAGCACAGTGGGTGGAGGAGGAGGGGTGCCACCTGCTGACCAGTCCTGGAATAGCACAGGGCAACTCCTGGTGACTGGGACTTGGGTCATTGCCAGACTACTATTAAAAAGTTGGCTGGGCGCCTGTGGCTCAAGCGGCTAAGGCGCCAGCCACATATACCTAAGGTGGCGGTTCGAATTCCCAGCCCGGGCCCGCCAAACAACAATGACGCTGCAACCAAAAAAAAAAAAAAAATGGTCAGGCGTTGTGGCGGGCGCCTGTAGTCCCAGCTACTTGGGAGGCTAAGGCAGGAGACTTGCTTGAGCCCAGGAGTTGGAGGTTGCTGTGAGCATGATGCCATGGCACTCTACCCAGGGGGATAGCTTGAGGCTCCGTCTCAAAAAAAAAAAAAAAGTCAAAGAGGGCTCAGGGCTGTTGCACAGCAGTTATGGCGCCAGCCACATGCACCGAGGCTGGTGGGTTCAAGCCTGACCTAAGCCTGCAACCAAAAAATAGCTGGGCGTTGTGGCGGGCACCTGTAGTCCCAGCTACTTGGGAGGCTGAGGCAAGAGAACTGCTTAAGGCCAAGAGTTTGAAGTTGCTGTGAGCTGTGACATTATGGCATCCCACCCAGGGTGAATGTTTTCTCAAAAAAAAAAAAAAAATCAAAGATGGGGGCTGGGTTTGATGGCTCACACCTGTAATCCTAGCACTCCAGGAGGCCGAGGCAGGTAGACTGCCTAAGCTCAGCCTGAGCAAGACCCGGTCTCTAGGGCAGCGCCTGTGGCTCAAGGAGTAGGGCGCCAGCCCCATATAGTGGGGGTGGCGGGTTCTAAGCCAGGCCCCCGCCAAAACTGCAAAGGAAAAAAAAAAAAAGCCCCAGTCTCAAAGGACTCTGTGTCAAAAACAAACAAAATAAAAGAGTCGATGAGAATACTGTAGTTGTCATCAAGGCTATAGGTTGCCAAGAGGGCAGAATGCAAAAGCATTTAACTACACTATGGCAAATTACAAGACCCCTGTGAGAAGCTTGACAAAAAAGAGGAAGAAAACCATTCCTTTCTCAGCAAGGAAGTGAGGGAATTCTTGGCCAACACTATGAAAATTATTTTCCTATATTACACTTCTTCACAAAGTGCTCAAAGAAGAGAAATTTTCATCATAATCAACAGGCATCCAAGGGAATGGATATATATTCATGATGCAAGTAGCAATCTCAAGAATAGGCAAGTCTTCGATAAATGTTAGTGATGCACAGGAAATAATTATATGTGGTGCTGCGCTAAGAAGTCTTTCTTGCCTTATCTCATTTACCCTCTTAACAACTCTGTGAAGTAGGTCCCCTTTTTAATTCCTATTTTTCAAAAATAGGAAACTGAACCCTGGCCCCACTGGGATTTGAATTCAGATCAGTTCAACTTTAGGGCTGTATCCTTAAATGTCTATCAGCATAGACATGGACAAATGGCCAGTGGTGCTGCTGCTAAACGTTACTGAGCTCTCCAGGAAAGATAATAAAGAGTTCTGATTTGGGGCAGTGCCTGTAGCTCAGTGGGTAGGGCACCAGCCACATACACCGAGGCTGGTGGATTCAAACATAGCCCAGGGGCTCGGCACCTATAGCTCAACCGGCTAAGGCGCCAGCCAC